TTCCTTATGATAGCAGGGGTAAGTTATGGACCCATTTTAAACTCATTTGGTCCCTCAGCTACTACTTTTGGTAAAATCTGATAAACACAGTAAGGGGAAAAAAAAAAATCAGGGGAGGAGGGTAGCCTAGAGAAAAGTAAATAAAAGAATGGCAGCAATAAAAATATTTTTTCCATTAAATTTTAAATACAGACAAATAATATGGGACAGATTTTTACTGAATCCACTTCTAGAAGCTGTAAGGTACCCTTAAGACAGCTTGCTTCCGAAATTTTAATGTCACAGGCCTTGACACTTGCCAAACTTACTAGGCAAGTTAACTGAAATAGCTAGCTGTTACGTTTCAAAATGTCGTTCCAAGATTAGTTTTATTTTAAATAGAATTTCATCATGACTGTGGAAATCCTCATACATATCAGTCTTACAAAATCCACTTACTGCTCGTTTTCAAGAACTGCTGAAAAGCCAAGTTGATCAGATCTCTCTATCACTTTCCACTACTGTGTAAGAGGTGGGTGAGAATTTTGGCTCTTCAGCTGGTCACAACATGCAAATTTTGACAGACTGATAACGTATTCACAAACACAACACTCATGTCATGATCCGTCACCCTGAATCACCTACAGAAAAGCTTTCCGCAGCAAAGTTTATCTGAGTGCCAGTGAGAAAACAAACTAAAAACTAATGAAGAGATTAAGGCCCATATGCTAGAAACAAATAGCATTCAAAATACTGAAGAAAGTATAAAATAATTAACCATCTTATATAAAACAAAAAATGCAATGCAAGTACAGAGGATCTGGTTTCTTTGCTTACCATGCTTGGAAAGAAGTGATATTTTGCAACTTTAGTCCTGCAATTATCCTAAACAAGAAATTTAAATAAACAAATAAATAAAAAGGAGCAAATGCAAACTGATGCAAACTATTCCTATGATGTAAACAGTTGTTACAAATGAGACCTAGCTAATGGCTTTAATGCTATATTGAATATGCCAAGGTAGCAGTATCTTTGGCAATGAGAGAATTGCAGAATTTAAGAAAGAAATTATTAAAGTTACTAACATCAGAACCATCTTTTTGTTTTGTGTGCAGTACATACATTTCATTCAAACATGTTCCATTATGTTTTCCACACCTCCTCCAGGATTATGAGTACAGCACCTAGTCTTCCTGATTTTTATGATTTTACTCAAAAAATTACTCTTGGTTTTCACTTAATCCTCAAATGAATTAAAATTTGTAAGCCAAGATAAATGGAAAATTCTGATTTGTGACCAAAGTTAAAATGCTGAACACTTAAGAGAGAGCCATTGGTTCACAATAAAATAGGACAAATTTAAACTCTTAGGTTAAAATACAGCCATAGCATAGAATTATCTATTTCAAAATTATTTTTTTCAAAATATAATTCTCTGAACATGTTATACATTAAATATTGAGGAAAATTTCCCTGGAGCTAAAATTTTCCAAGAACACTAATAATCTTCATTAAAGAAGTAAAACAAACCACACAGCATCTGGAGACAAAAAAGGGGTTAGAGTTGGGGTCACCTTACAACAGAGTAGCTTTACCACCATTAATATGCAGGTTTCCCCTTTAATCTTGAAAAATATGTTCATATTTACATACAGTATACACACAGTTGAGGCAATTGATTGTCAACACGTGACAAATGCATGTACCTACCCACACACAAGTAAACCTCACATGGTGAGAAAAAACCGTCCCAGTAAACTCCAGTATTCGTAAGTAGTGCAAATAAATACTTTGTCAGAAAACAATTTTTCTCACTATTTTGATGTTAAACCAGATAATTTTAATTATGTTAAAGCTAGCAGGAGTATGTTGGAAATGTAGTGTTTAAGACCAACACACTTGCAGATTCAAACTACAAATACTAGATCTAATGCTTACTGGCTGCAGCATGATGTTCAGCATTACACAATGACATATGCTGTTAAAAAACTTCTCCAAATTCACATCAGAAAGGGTGTTCAAAGAAATCTGCATTTAAAATGGACAGTGACATACAAAGTCTCCAAATGAAAACTAAAAACATAATACAGCAATTTAAACTGTCATCTTGCAACATTCACATTAACAGGCATTTTACTTCTTCACTTCACTGCCTCCAGGATGAAAAAATGGTGCATTATTCATCTAAAAAGCTGCTCACAATAAGCTCCTGAAACCGATAATCAAGCTGGAGTTATCAATCCCAACATTTTGTATTTTCTTAAAATTATAAAGCCCAAAAAAAATATGTTGCAAAATGGCAGCATAATATGATGTGGTAAAAAGTGTATCAAAGAATAATTAATTTATCCCTACTTAAATGTATATACACATCAAATTATAGTACCTATACTTCCTCACTTAAGAATTACATGTATGTGCATGCATGTGCACATATACAGGGAAAAATCATATTGTTCTGCTTTCTAAGCTTTCATTAATGCTGCAGTTGCACTGAAATGCTGCAGAAATCTGAATCTAGTGCCTCATGTCAAGTACCAAATGTTCTAAAACAAGACACAGCAGAGTGAATTCAGGATAGAGACTTAAGTCTAAATATTTGTCACAGCTGCCAGAAAATTTAAGTATGTTTTGTACTGTTTAGTACTTAGCATATATAATCAGAAAGCCAGTAGATTACTCCCTCAATCCATATCCCAGACATTTCTAATTTTATCTCTGCCACAGTACTTTGAAGGGTACTGAAATTCAGGATGTAAAGTTTCGCCTCGATCTTAATGCACCTTGGCATAGTTTGAGACACATCTAGAAGCATTAACGATAAACGTGATACACAGCACTAGCAAAGCCTTTTACTACAGCTGGTTTGTAGATACTAGTGATGAGTAATTTTCTAAGATCAATTTTGAACAGCACTTGTCTGAAAACGACAAAACAAGCTCCCACAACTGAATCATTGCACGAAAGGGTAATTTTCAGAAGTTGTAGATGGAGCACATCAGCACATAAGAAAAATATTTTTTACACAGGGATAAATTTGAACTCTTTAAAAAAACCTCATATGGGATAGGTTTACATACAGCAGAACAAACCAAAATGCAATGGACGAAATGATAACAAAAGGCACATCATCAAGATGAGAACTGTAAAAATATCTTAAAAGGTAGTTTGAATTAAGTTTTGAGCAATTTGAATTTATGCACGTACATTTGACTTCCCTATCTGAAGTCACTGAGTTGTCTCACTTTCCCGAAACAGGTTAACAGTGTGGGATCCCACGAACAAGAATACTTTTAACAAGCTGTAAAATTTGGCCCAATGCCAATTTTTTAAGTGTCTAAAACTTCTGAAGGAATGCTTTTAATAGCAAATGTAGAAAGTAGAGAGCCTTGCTAATGAACAGCTCTATGCTTTAAAATACTAAAATTATTAAAAAACTAGCTGACACTCTTGACCTTTCTTTCTAAAAGACTTAAGCAAATTATTTGGTCCTTTTTAATCTACAGTGGTAACTCTTCAATAGAATTTCCTTTATGATGGTCTTTACAAAATCTAAACCTTGTATGGCCATGACTTACCAACTGTCTCTACTTGCAAAACTTCATAAAATAAAGAACAGTTTAACCATATATAGCTTTTGACATTTTATCTCAACTCTGCCTTCATTCCATCTGTGGTAGTCCCTAAAAATTTATTTAGAAATTGTAAGATTTCTTTCTTATGATGATTCTATTTACTTTTTAAATGAATTTCTGCATGTCAAGATGACATTTAATTCACTATATGAACATAAGATATGAAGACTAGACTACTAAAGTGACTTGTCAAACCACAAGAAAAAACCCTTTCAAATATTTAAATGAATTTTAATGTAAATTGGGAAAAAAAATTAATTCTCTTTGGAATAAATTCAAAAGAAAGAAACCACCCAAACCTAAAACCAGCTACCACCAATGCAACATCGTATCATTGTCCTGAATTTCTCAAAGACTATCCAAGATAGCCTGCTATTTATAACTGCTTCTGTTTATCCTTCACAGTGACAGTGAAACCAAAGTGCCCATGTAAAGATCGTAACTCTTTCCTGGGGGTTAGCAATTTGTAAACTTCCAGGATATCACACATGACTAAAGCACAGAGGATGAACTTTTCCCTTTTCTCTCTAGTAATTATAAAAATAAAAAAGATAGAGATGGAGAGAGAATAATAAACATTCTCCTGTGTAACCAGAAATGTGCTTCTAAGCAGTGTTCTTCAGCGTAAGTGCCAGCCAGTGCCCATATACCAGTCATATACATTCTAGGCTTGGCTCAGTGGCATGAGTTCTAAATTTTCTAGAGCAGGGCCAATTCACTACAGTAAGTTAAAAAACCTCAATGGATTATATATACCAAAGCAATGAAGCATGATCCTTCTGGGGGAAAAAGGACTGTCAGTACCCCTTTGCACAAATGGTGTTTGTAGAAAAGCATTTCTCATTGAAGCTTCAGTATTTCTAGCCAACTATTGTCTCTATCCCTGAGACAGCCCCTTAAGAGTATGGTCTGTCTGGACTGCAGGATTCTTCAAATGACTCTATGACTGAATTCAGGGACACTGAGAAAGCAGCTGTGAGGGGGCGGGGAGGGGTGTCCAACAGCCATGATACCACAGAAAGCAGCCTGAGAAATACTCTTTACCCGAATACACCTTCCAATTCAGTGATCAGCACCTCACAACAACAACAACAACAAAAATGGAGCAGAGCTAGCCATTAGTTCCTGGGAAAATGGTGTTTCCTTCCCACTTACAAACCAAATTGATTTAACAGCATGGCATTGTCTAAATTTTAGTCTGTATGCAGAATGACCCTGTGTCCTGGAGAGGAAGACATGTAACATTACAAATGGCTACAACGCCATTAGAAGTGCATTGTAACCTACATTATGTAATTAGAATCCTCTCTCTGAGGGAAGCAACTTGTTAATATGCATGTCTCAGTTGCTGAACATCAAAAGCTTCTGGGATGAGAGACTGGGGCAGACAAGAAACAACTACCCTCACTTTAATGATAAAAGTGCTGTAGGCAGCCAGGAGCAGCAATGACAATCCCCTCCCCAGAATTGATTGCACAGACTCAGAGAGGTCCAAAGTCACACTAGAATCTCTGAGGCACTCCTGGTTCCGAGAAAGAAAAGTCATGATCCAGTAGTCTTTGCAGTACTGTAGACTGAGAAAACAAACCCGTTTCTATTTCTTAACAAAGCCAAAGCATCATCTCATAGGGATCACATTCACCATTTCCGCCGGTGTCTCCAGTCTCACAGTGTTGAAATGGGACTGATCAGCCTACGATGGATTGCACATCACCCAAGGAGAAAGGAAGGCATGGAAAAAGGCATACAGTACGTTATATACTGCTTCACAACCATGTTTACAAGGTGGGGGGGAGGATGAAGGTGAGGGAAGAATTATTGCTGTTTCAGTAATACAGTATGATAGCTAAACCAAATCAAACAAGATCACTACAGTCGGTATTTTCACACTGCGGGATGATGGTTCATGTTTTGCCTAAGGATGAACTTGCCTGGGGATTAAAGGGAAAGGAAGTCAAAGTTACACCTGGGATATCAGCTGCATATTGAAACTTGGAGATCGAGACTGCTTGGTTAGGGGAGCTCCTGGGGGAAGGAGATCTTTACCTTCCCCAGCTTGGCCTAGTCGGTCCTCCTGTAGGCTAATAGTTGAAAACCGATTGGTGTTGCCAGCTGCTAGATTGGTAACACCCTCAGTACCAGCTCCAACACTGGAGCCTGCTTGACTGCCATTCACATAGTCAAATGATTTACTGGAGGAAGCACTGGCGGTCCTGATCAGGCTCAAACTGTTAGCTTTTGGCACCACTTGCCCAGCAGGCAGGCTGAGGTGTTTCTTTGTAGGTGTCATCTCAATTATATCTGCACCAAGGTCAGTGGATTGGTGCATGTACTGCTTCCAAGCTACTGGATCTCGAGGGCTCTCATTGGACTTTGCTGCAGAAGAGGTTTCTTTATCCTTAGCAGAATGGCCACTTGCTGTTTTCCTTAAGCTGCCCTTCTGGGATACAGATGATAGAGGTTTGGTCCCAACTGGCTGGCTGCTGAGTGAAGCTCCTGATGAAAATCCCTCATCAGCGTCATTAAGGTTCACAGATTCCTCTCTTCCATTTACACCTTCAGTGTCTATTAAGAAAAAAAGAACAACCAAAAAAATCCCAAAACAATCAGAACAAAGAGTAAGCATTCAAGTTACATAAAGACAAGGATGTGCACAGAATGTCCAAACAAACCTCATTTGCTAATCCACCTGGTTTCCACTTGCTTAACCATTTCTGATTCGCAGCCAATAATCTTCCTGTCATATTTAGCATAATAACAGAATCTACCAGTAAGTACTCCCTGAACTTGATTTGCCTTTCCTCTACATCACTTTTATCAGTCAGAGTGTCTCCTGAACTTTGTCCATAAACAAGAATTAGGCCCCATTTGGCTAATGTGTTTTAGTTCTGCATGCAGACACTGGTGCCTATTCCCCTCCTGCATGTGTTTAGAAGAAAAAAAAATTAGGTTCCTTCCTAGGCCAGTAACCACATTCACAAGGCTTCTGTTGTCTGTAGCTGGCATATTAAATAATGTGACTATAGTTTCTGATGGAGATTAACCTAATTCCTAGTTCTCCCTCCACAGCTCAATCCTCCCTTCATTTCCAGCAATCCTATCAAGATGCTTCTACCATATTTGCTTTTCTATCAGCATCTAGAGTTTCCAGAGGGAAAAACACCCCAACAACCAACCACTGTATTAAGAGAAATTTAACCTCTGAAACATTTCATGTCATAGAAGAGGCACTGTGGTTTTGACTGCTATCTCAAAGAGAAAAAATAAGGCCTGGCAAACTTCTTTCTTAAATCCTTGTTTTCAGGCCTGTAATATGATTAGGGCAACTTATTCTTTTTTTCTTTTTTTTAAATCTGATTCCAGTCCTTTTTCTAAGCTCCAATAAGCTCCAAGTACTCATAGGAAGAGTTACTGTTTCTGTAGAAAACTGAACAGCATTCAAATTTCACAACTGGAGATGGAGTTTGAGGTTTTGCTCCATATATCTCGTTTTAGTGAAAAAAAGCCATAAAGTTTAACCATGTTAGCAAAACAGGAGACATTGAGGCTACAAGAATTTTGGTTTTCTTTATAAAAAGCTACGGAGCCTGATTATTTGCAAGAAATTTGCAGAGCCTATGGATCTGTCCCAGCTCAAGCTACTGCACTGCTCTACTGGCAGTTTGTTCAACTCGGCTTGCCACCAAGCAAACATGTTTAAATTTGTATTGTGGAATAGGGAAAAAGTGGTGGCAAGGATGTAAGAGATTCTGGCACTGGAGTGGAAGCTCATGCTTTCATGCTGATTGTTAGCAGAGCGCTAAGAAACATTTTACATTATGGCAAGCAACACAGGCAAGCAGCTTTCGCTGTTATTGCTGCCTCTGTGTAGTAAGAGCATAGCCTGATCTAACTTTACATTCTCAAGTGTAAATCAAGATAACTTTACAGGGAGGTTTTATTATCCTGTTTTAAACTTACTTACTTCCTTTCAGAAAACAAAAGCAGCTTACAAAAGGTATTTAACCACCTCCAATCAGAGCATTCTCAGGCCTCTCTCAGAACGATGCCATGTGAGCTTATGTAGTTTTTATGTAGTTCTGTTGGACTCATTAGCCTCCCAGCAGCAGAAAACTAATATAGTTCATGCTACTTCAGTCTTCCTTCCTTGGTAAAGCTTTTAGCATTAGAAAAGGAAGCTTCTCAGGTTTCAAGAACTATTATTAAACTGAAGGTGTGTTACTTGCTTAACTTCCTGTATCTAAAATACGTACACTTCCTCCCCTGCCGCCCACCCCATTTGGTCAAACTAGGCCTTTATCTTCTCATTGAGACTTAAGTATATTTTCTTAAATTAAACAGTGATATATTTTATTCATAATCCAACACATCTCCATCCCCCACCCCCCAACCTTCCCACACATAATCAAAAATGCTAATAAAAATATGACAGAATTGGAACATACTGAAAGCAAGAGCACTTTCCAATAAACCAACATTTATGTTTCCTTTCATGCAAAGCCAGATGAAAGCGTGTTTGGTCACAGGCAGCAACAGCAGCAGCTGAAGTCCCCTCTCAAGCCCAAAAGGCATCTCCAAACAACATGGCTACGGTTTTATTATTACAAGAACATTAGTCATCCTCAAAGTTTACGTTAAAATGTTGCTGACTAACAGTATGCTAGATCAGACAATCCTATTCAGGGACAGTGAAGCAGAATAGTCACACTGAAAAAAGTGGTGTTTATCCACAGAATTTAAAGACATGACTGAGAGGGGCTGTTGCAAGCTTTTGGATGCTGCAACTATACAGAGGCCCAAGCAGCTCAGCAGTGCTCAAAAATGAAGAAGGTAGAGAAGACAACATGCAAGAGAATTTCTGTCTAGTCAGGTCCACATACCTACAGAAGTTCTCAGTGGGATTGAAGTAATTCAGCAAACACATACTCTTTTCCCAATACATGTTATTTTTCCTCTAAAAACTGCCCTCAGAAACAATAAAAAAAAAACGTTTGAGTCCTTACTTACTCTGTTAGGAGGGGAAAACAGGATGAAGTAACAAATTTTTCTCTTCTTCCTCTTCCCCCCTCCCCAGTAGACCAATAAGTATCGAAAAAGAAAACAAAACCTAAAAACCTGTGTTTCCCAAGCACTCTTCTACAGTAAGGCCAGAAGAGAGAGAGTGCAACCTGATATAAATCATTCAATTGCACTACACTGTGGTTCAGGACTCTCACTGTTCCTTATCAGAGTCTGTACCCAAATAATTTTTTATTGATGCCTGTACATAATTAATCCTGTAGATGTAGATATAGAATTCTCCACTGATCCAAAATAGTGCACATAACCACGGCTGCTATCACTCAGCAGCAGAATACTACCTTGTAAGGCATTACTGAGATATTCTTGGTATCTTCTGCCTTTTTCTATTTGTTGAGTCAAAACATCGATCTGAAGAAGGGTTTTATACAGCTTTTTAAAGTAACTTTTACTGTTCATCCTTCCCATAACGTGAAGGCTAAAAAGTCATGAGTAATGTTTAGTCTCTCATTATATTGTTTGATATCAAAATGACATTTATGAGAGGGAATTTGCTAGCTGAAATTTTCTGTGAAATCAGCACCAGTAAAATAATAGACCACTATATATACACACACAATTCTATACTGATAATCAAACCGAACTTCATTCACTGGCCTTCTCCCAGATGCCATCAACTGGCAGAAACCAGCTCTCCCAAGCATGTAACTAGACACTGCTAATGTTACAGAAGGGCATTCGATCCACTTCTACTGAAGCAAAGTATGTGGAATGATGCTTATCCAGCAACACACCAAATCATAGAGATGCCTGGAAGGCCACATCTTTATTAACTTCTTTCCCACTTCCTGTCTCTCCCAGAAGGTTCTCTGCAGCTGAAGACTTCTCCATATCCTTCAGGGCATGCACATGCAAAGTTTAGTAAAATGGATTAAGACCAACTGAACAAGTGAGTTTAGGAGAAGACAGGACTCATTTACTGAGCATGCTCAAATTAGCTATGCACCAAGGAGTGGATTATAAATTTGCACTAAACACTCTTACGCAACTATCTTCTACAGAAGCACGATGTCTTAATTATTGTTTGATAGCAACTCTAAGGGAAAGGATTCTGTGATAACACTACATGAAATCTCCAAATTCTCCAGATGATTGTTTCCTGAAGAATAAATCTGAAACCTATATAAGTCATATCTAAATGTGCACATAAATCTTATTTATGATCGACTGATATGCTTATAGATGCTGCAAATAACAAAGGAATGTTCAGATTGAAAAGATGACCTGAGATAGGAGAACTCTTGAGAATATGTTCAGTTAAATTTAAAAGAAAATTAATTCTCATCTCTGAGGAGAAATCATGATTCAAATCCATACTCAAACCCACATCTTTTATGGGGTAAAGATAAGAAAATTAATAGATGAATTAAAGAAAAATAAATTTCTGCCAGCTACTCTGTCTGCTATTCTTGACTGCAGAGCAGACATATGAAGTCCTATAGCATTTGTGTGGCCAGTATGATTGAGAAAGAAAGCAGTGTTTCTAAAGCTCTTAGAAATATGACAACCTGATTTCTTCTTGAAAATGTAAGTGCTTTTTTGGTAACTGCCTTTAGAGCGGCCGGCTCGCTCATGTACATGTACGTATTTTCAATTAAAGGATGACTGGCAAGTAAAAACATCAGCAGTTGTATGTCTGTCTCAGATAGGCTTGACTTTCAACTGGAACAGGAAGCTTCATTCTTGGAAATTTAAGAATTGCAGATTAACAAGACACTACTGTAACTAAGTTGTAGCCAAATTCATTTATACTCTATACTCTTTTTCAGGACTAGATTCATGCTCATCTGGTGCATTTTTCCCTTCTGAATATTAAATTAAACATGCTCAGTAATAGAAAGTTTCCAAGCAATCCCAAAACCTCTTGGTTATTACCCATCTTTTTTTTTTTTTGCCATGCCAAGCAGTCTTTCACCACACAGATGCAAGCCCCAGGCGAGCCCACATGATAACAAAAGATAGTACCTGACCTGATGTTAGGTATATAGGGGATGCGTGTATTGCAAAGAGAAGCTAATACACCCTGGGATAGCGGAAACACACACTAGAATGGAAAGAAGTTCTGCTTGGGGATAGGGAGCCAGGATCCTCCTCCAGCAACTGCCTCACTGACTTCTGCCTCCTCATCTCTGTCCTACCCTCTGTTGTGGCTGCTGCCAAGGTGGGCTCCGGGAAGCCATGCTCAGGGGTCCTGCGCATCAGCACCTCCCCCTCTTGCTCACGTTTGATCCCTACGTCTGTGGAGCCGTGTTGGATCGGTGAGCCAGGTATGCTTGAGTCAGCCTCGTTTGAGAAGTCAAAGCCATCTGGGATTCAACATATAACATTTTAGTGCTTTTCTATTCCTTTCTTGGTGTTCCAACCCAGGCAGGGAAAATAGAAGATTTATGTGGACAAGGAACAAACAAAACACCTCCCATGCTTAGTTAGAAGTTGTGAGAACATCCACAGAAAGGGACAGGTGGGCTATACTGTGAGACCAGAGACTAGCAAATGAATATAATGGCAACTACAGTGAAGACAAACATGACCCAGAGTTCTGTAAACAGAAGACAGCTACTTGTTGTCCTGGACATCATGATTCAGCTGAAGACCTTGGGTCATCAAATCCTTTTGCATATGATACAGGGGAAAAAAATACCCCAACAAACAAAAAGCAAACCAAACAAAAAAGAGAGTACCACAGGAAAACATGTAATCCTTATTTTCAGACTTTTTTTACCCTCAGTTTATGTTTAAGTTATTCTACTTTTTACCTTCAGCCATTTATGCAGCTTTTTTTAGATCAACGTTTTATAGATGCAGCAACAAAGCTTTATGACAAAGTGATTTCAAAGCACGTTTTTGCTACACCTACACTGAAGATGTCATCACATCAAGGTAAATACTACTATGTATTTATTATTTTTCTTTATACAGTCAAACACGCTTCCTGTGACATAATTACTCACGGAGGAAAAATAAAGACTTATTCTAAGCTACCCAAAGCTATTTTATCACATGGCCCCTCTCTAAATTGGGCCGCTTAATGGTAGCATTATGATGTTCAGCTTTTCCCTCTCCCACTGCCTTCAGTAGCTTTAGGTAGCTGGAACCCTATCAAGGTCTGGATAATACCATTCATTCCCTGAAGTATTTATGATGAGAGGCATTTGAGTTTTAGTGTGGATTAAAGAAAGAACTCAAATTCTAAGCCAAACTTTACCCTACAATTTTATGCTGTGTTACATGGAGGAAAAAAAGAAGCCTTATTGAACATTTTCCAGCTTCTCCATTTTCTCACCTACCTCATGGGTTATCATCAAACCAAAAAAACAAAACAAACACCCCAGATGTTCATGTTCATGCAGTGCTCTGAAGATGTAAAATACTATACGTTGTTATGGAGTATCACTTTTCAAAAACAAAAAACCCCAACCAACTGTTTTGCAAACATTCAAACTCAGAAGCCAGATTACAGGGATGATGATGGAAACAGTATGTTAGCGTATTTGCTCTTGGCAGAGAGAGCTCACCTTCTCTTCTCCAGCGATGGCGACGGATAGAAGCTGTTGTAATAGCAGTCCGAGAAATCCTCGGCACTGTTGGAGTAACTTCTACTTTGAGTACCTTCTGGCCTTCTTGTGATGCGTCTGGAGCATCAAAGGGCAGTGAGTTCTTCATGGCATTTGCAACCTAAGACAAAAGTAAAATGCTGTACTACGACTGTCCTTGACTGCACTAATGGCAATGTTGCATTTCTTGTTGGATACTAAAAGGAAAACAACCAAGAATTGTTAATTATGCCAGATCCCCTCCAGATGAATGGCGTCATTCCCAAGATTCATTCGCAATGGATAATTATGTTGAAAACCTCATCACAAACCTATTCTCAAAAATACAGCTGAATTTTCTTTGAGGTGATTTATTTCAGTCCACATTTGTCACTTGTACTGACATAAGTAACAACCTACCTAGGAAGGTCTCCACACAAAAGAGACTGCAAAGCGACAAGGAAAATAACATTTATGTTTTATGACAAGAATGTCATAAAATTAAGTCACAGGCCAAGCCAATGCAAACAACATATGGCCTTGTTCATGGGGGGGGATAGGGCCATTTTCCACTCCCCTTACCCCATATTTCCCCCCAGAAAAAACCTAGCCAAGGGGATTAGAATGCAGGTACTTGCAAAATTTAAACAAACACACAAACAAACAAATAAATAGATTTCAACCTAAGCAATGAACATCAATGAACAAAGCAAATGAACATTAAAATGCATTCAGCTCTATTAGATCAATTTTTTAATTGTAACAGGCTATTATAATGTCAGAAGTTCTGTTCTGCAGCTTTGAGAACAAATGACCTCTTCTGGCTCTCATGGTTTAACTGCTTCTTTAAATTTTCCCTAAAATGCTTTTGTGCGATGAAAGTTTTACTTGAAGAAAATAAAAAAAGCACCTTTCAGTTTCCTAGTTTACAAGTAAATTGTTCAAAAAGTGAACTTATGTACCAGCTGTTGAAAAACAAGCTGGGTCTCTATGGCATGTGCAGTATTCAACAATAATGGAATCACTGCACACAAAGTAGGATTTAGAACCTAAAAAAAAAAAAAAATTAAAGTAAAAACACCTTGTTTTTCCAAAATCTTGGTGACTTTATGCATCCAAGCGGCAATAAAAATATTAGACACATTTTAAACTTAACATCACATTAACTTCATTCATAGATCTCTTACGTTTCACAGACATAAGACTTCCTACATGCTCTTTACTCCCCCTCTAATGAAGACAGTATATAAAATAAGAGTGTCTGAGACATCTAGACTAAAAATAAAACAACGGTGGAAAATGCGATTTGCTAATCTCCATAAAATCCTACCTAGCAACAGCTCCCACTGTAATTTGGGCAGGCTATTCTCTCCACTACCATTTATATGCATTATGAAAAGCAACTTCATGTTGCCTCCCAATAGATTTTCTCTTATATCACAAAAAACCACAATGATTTTGCAGCTTGCGAAAACAGAGTTCACTATGTGGTAAGAGAAACACATTTATTTGAACATGTGGTCTACATGTCTTAAATCCATGTAATGTACTTGTTAGCTCAAGGCATGTAAACTGTATTTTAAGATGCAGATAAAACTATAAATTTGACTGTTCTGTCAATGTAAATGAGATACATTTTCTAAAGGAAAATGTATCTTTGCAAAATATTCCACTTTTCTGACAATGCATACATACATTTTTCTTCCTTTTAGAGTATGTTCTTTTTCTTAGAACATACATTTTTTTAATTGAAGATTTGTGGGTAGCTGATGCAGTAGTATCCACTGTTTAGCATGTTATTACAACTAAACATTTCCTAGTTTTATGCTCTAAGCAACAGTTGCATGTGTTTCCCTCAACCTAGTGACAGAATTAATGCACTTTTGAACATCACCAATGTTGTGTTGATACTCTGAGGTTTCTGAGGCCTTGGAAACGTATGGGACATCCAACAAATTCCCTGAACTCCCAAAGCCTACATATACCAAATCTGTTTAACTAATTAAGTCATTTTTCATTAGCATTCGCAAAACCACAAACTGAGAAATCTACTAAACCACTAGAACAGACCCTATTGGCAGATATTTGTCTCGTGAAGATCTCAGATAACGTTTGATAAAAAAGACTGAATCAATGCATATGGCACGCACACCATAAATTAAGGGTGTTTATTCACATTATAATAAAGTAAAAGTGGCTTTTCTACAAGTTGTAACAGGCAAACCACTCATCAACCATGAGAAGAAATTAAACTGTTTCAAACAGCAAAGCCACACATCGCAGGATATTAACTAAATCAAAGGACTTTTCACTTCCTGTGAGCTGGAATAGCCGCCACATAGCTGATTCTGATCTCCAGATGCTGTTGTGATGCTGTAACTACCCATTAAACATCTTCTCCACTGCCTTCCTGTCTGACTTCTAACCAGCACAAAAGATTGTTGCCATCATTGCAGAAATGCTCCTCATCATTGTCTTCCACTTGTCCAGAACTAATTTGCCCTTTGCTAGCCAATTTTCTCAGCCTCAACATCTGTTTGTGAACTGCTCCCCTATTCACACACAGGCCTTTTTCCATGCTATCCTCTTGAACTGGTACAAACTGCATTCACCCTATCCTAGACCACATTAAAGACTTCAGAAACTCTTTCTGCTGCACTGAACCACAACAGATCAACAGTAGACATTGGTTTGCCTTCCCATCTTCTACTCTCTAGAGTTACACCCTCTTTTCAACAGGTACTCTTCGCAATAGACAGAATTAAAATCTAAAAATTAGTAGCAAAAAGCTTCTACAACAGGATCAGAAAAGTGACAGAGTACTTCTGCTTGTTGAACCTTTTACAAATTGTACTCCTTGGTACTGAGGAGAACCATACAGAGATAAAATTCAACACAACAGTAGAACAATCTAAACGAGTTTGAATGAGTCTTCTCTGACAGAAGAACACAAAATTGTGATCCTTCAGGATGTGATAACAACTTGCTCACTATGTATAATCCAGCACTGAAAGGCAGGAAAACAAACACACACTACAATTCTGACTTGGCAAGCCAAGTCTGCAAGTACTGATGACAAAAGTGAGCTGGTTTCAGGCCAGACATCCACTCTTGCCTATCAGAAAGGAGCTCTAATGAAAAGCACATCCAACAAAAGCAGTAAGTACCTCAATAAAATACACTAGATAAAGGTTCTGTTGCAACAGGGACTTGCTGATCCATGCTTCATGCATACCAGGCTAAGAAAGCCTATGCATCTCTGCACTGAAGATGGAGATTTCCATCTGAAACAAGTGCAGAAGTCTTGCATTCAGACGAAAAGACTGACTGGAACTGAGCTAGTCCCCAGGTCCAAGCTAGCTTAGTGGTACTATTGAGTCTTGGTGATTAATATCCCTAATGACTATAAAACGAATAACCAGGGATGATTATCAGCAATACTTTTCAGAGAAAAAGCCTTTCCCTTGTATTACTTACTGCCCTTTCCAGTGCACCTCTGGGTAACAGTGAAAGACAACCACTCCTACATTACAGCTATTTAACTACATTACAGATATTTCATAGATTTCTGATGCTATTTTGGCACCTGTTGTTTGGTTTTTTTTTAATTCCAGAGGCACTCTAAACCTATTTAGAGTACAGATACAGTATATTGTCAAAAATCTTTCTCCAAGAGACATTCCCAAACACAGAGGCTGTGATGTTTCTCACTGTAATAATGAGTAATGGTATTTCTGTAATTATACAAACAGCTTCAGCACAGATACCTAAAACCAATCCCAACATAGCAATTTGCCTGAATATTAAATGAGCTTCAAAGAAATTGCTGCTGTTAGGAAATCCTAGGCAGAGGCTGAACTGGAAACTTATCTGGGAAGCTGCACAGACAATATTTTATTTGGTGCCCATAGTTCTACGTGTAAAATACAAAATTTTATAATGCTGCTAATTTTACACATCTCCTGGAGAATGCAGTGAGGTGAAAGGACTCCAACCTTTGAAGAAGTCAAATCCCTTGAATATGTAGCATAAGGCCAAGGTCACTTTTTTGTAAAACTGACGATTTCTTAAGAGCTGCTTTTAAAATATTGCAGTAAAACAAGATAGGAAGCAAGGCAATGATCAGAGTATTAAGGAGAAAACCCCACAAATGTGCCTGCACATGGCTGCATGAAAAACCTGGTAACTAGGGAAGGGGGAAAAATTGATGGTGATGGCATGACATCACCAACCCTAGGTAATGGGATAGAGAGGCAATAGCTTTGGAAAAACTCAAAGATAATCTAGAAGATTCTTACAATTAGAAGTAATATCTAAGGACAAACTGCTTAGAAATGAACAATGAGGACTGATAATTGTCATATCATCAAGTTCCAGATCCTCCTACACACCTTTTAAATGTGTTAGTTCAACTGTGTGGCCCAATTCAGTAGGTTCAATATTTAATTTAAAACTTTCAGTCTGATGGAGTGATGAGTCATTTCCAAAAGGAACCAACTATTGTCATAATTCAATGGATCATTTAAAATGCAGCAGTGTCAGAAAGCCTGTAGATATATTTTACAGCCAATATTAACTCATCAAGAGAGTAATTTTCTGCAATTTACTGCAGAAGAGAGGTATCTCAGATGGCCACATTAAAAGATTTTTCCCAATCCACTCCTTTCTCAGTTATGTAAAAAGCAGTGAAATTTTACTGCTGTTATTTCAGAGGAGCACTAAAGGCTTCTAGTCACAACTCTGATGCAAAACAGTACTCTATTTTACTTTATTCTGTTTAACTTTGCCTCTTATTTTGATCCTCATTTCTACATCTGACAAAAAATGAAATCGCTCCATTCTCTGTCAACCTTCTCATCCTTCCCAATCACATTCACCTCCGTTCAACCCAGTTTCACCTCTTTCCCCATTTCACTTCTCTCTTTTTATGATCAGAACAGCAAGTATAGTGGAAACTGACAAAAACCCAATCAATCAGAAGAACTCAATTCTATTTCTGCTCCTCTAAAGAAGGTAAAGATTAAGACCTACCCTGCTTTTGCTTTTTCTACTGTATTACTAGTTAAACCACATGGTGTATTCGCAGCCCCAGTGAAGGTCCAGAAGCAAAGAAAACACCTTTTTTGTAACCAGTGTCCTATGCCGTACAACCATTTGGTTAAGCTTCTTTGAATTTCTCATTGGTAGCTTATGACAAAATAACAACCATTTTGATCCCACTGTAATACATTAGAAAATCCTAGCTCTCAGCATATCAGTGAGTCCTAGGAGATCCCAACACCCTAGCTTATTACTCAAGCAGAAAAATCATGGTATAAATAGCTACATTGAAAACACCAGCTGTTAACAATCACTTGTATCTGGGACTGCAGTAAATGGCCACAAATGCTTTCATTACCAATCCACTTCAGAAACGCATCCATACTCCTCCTGATCAAGGCCATAAATTGAAATGCATTGTTTCTTACCAGCAGAGGCTGTGAGTAGAGTTCAAGCTGTGCTCTGTAAATTATGTCTTCTAACACCTCCTGGCCAAGATCCCACTGACCATTATATCTAAAAAGTAAAGAAAGCTATTTATCTTATGAACTCAAACTTGTCTTTTTTCTGCCAAAATGCAGCACTTCAATTATTTGCTTATGTAGAAAGTTCATCAACTGTATGTATGCTCCAACCCCTGCACTTCTTTAAAAAGTATAGACAAAACTTTTTAATTAATTTTGTTGGTATAACAAGAAAAATCCGTTCCCTGTCACCTCCAAGCAAGACCAACTTGATGCCATAATCAGGACAAACTTAAAGAACAAAAAAGCCCACCAAACAATGGGGTCAAGATGTGAAGGTTAATGCTACTTAGCAGAACTGAATTTCCACCAGAAATGGATTCTACTACCTCAGAAATTACTGACATTCAAGAGGTCTGCATTTCATCAGGTTATCTTGGTATCCAAGTTTATTACACTTGTAAACAGAAGGTATCTGGTGGTAATGGAAACTTGGGAAAAGATGAAGCCAGAAGCCTAACTCTCTTCAGCACCTACTGCTGGCCCTCACCACCTAATTCAGTGCTGACAGACATGTTCAAATTGTCAGCTGGCTGAGTAAGCAAGTTATGCGAAATACATTAATTGAGTTATAAACTTGCATTGTGAGTTTAACGATTTTTGTTTTCAATCATAAAACAAATAGCATTTATATTTTAATTCATAAAAGACCAGACATTTCTCTTCATACAAAAACCCCATCCACTTACATGGCGTAATAGACACCTGTGAGCAGCTGCACCATGAAGTCAGGGTCTAAAACCACTCTACTACAGTGTTCTTTCCAGCGTTTCTCATGCTGCCGTGGAAACCCACTCACACACAGCCTGAAAAAACACACCATTTAACAAAATGTTAAGCCCACAAAGCCTACAAATGTCTACATCACAGAGATTTTAGTTAATTTTTCAAAATTTATTTTTCAAAATACAAGTACACAACATAGAACATTCTTATGTTGCTCTCCCAACAATTAAAGCAGTTTTGTAACAGTGCCTTGAGATGTAGTTTGCTGGTAATTCAGTGTTACTCCCATATAGCCACTAACTCCGTCTGTTTTCTTCAACTCATACCAGCTTCTAATGAATGAGGGTGGCAAGATGCCAGCCACCAAGTAGGAGACTCTCCCAAAAATCCAGTAGCCGAAAGCAACTTTCTTTAAAGGAAACATTTCAGTGGTACAAAAGAGAAAGATGTCATCGCCCATCTAATGTGTAATGGCAGTATGCAATCACCTGCTACCTAAAGTTGGATAACACAGATAATGTATTCCTGATACTGCGTTCTTGAGAATTGCTCTCAGCTGCCTTCTAAAAACCTACTTCTAACTCTTGAAAAAAGGCCTGCCTTCCCATACACTGCATAGCACCGAGTCTCTGTAAAAAACAAAATAATTTATTCATAACTTTAATATCTGAATCTTCATCATGAAAGCAACACATGCCAACTAATACATAGTAACTGCTGCACTGCTTCAAAACCAACAACAAAAATCCCTAACCTATAAAATGTTGTCTCTCTTCTCTACCCAAAGAGGGGATCCAATTTTCAGATGCAGGAAAATTCAACATATTTGGTAAATTTAGCATAGCCTCAACTCAAGTGAACATGACGGAACCATACCAAGAATTCACCCATTCCCATCAGAACTCACGGGAAAGAAACCAAACTATAATCTTAACTGCATTTGTGTGTTACTACAAAACGTACATTGTTAGAAACTAGTCTGATCCTTCTTTGATAAATAACCCAATTGCAAGTAATGCTTTTCTTTCATGGCAGTATTGTGCTGAAACAAAGAAGCTAAATCAAAAAACATTTCAAGAGATTCTTCTGTTTGGGGGTAGCAGGAGAGAGAATTTATCTAATTTTAGTCAAAAATGCTGGTAAAAACAGGCACATGAGAATATCAGATATAATTGAGATTTTTTCAGAACAAAAAGCAGGGATCTTTGCCAACCAGATGCTTCCAAGACTATTCAAGTAGAAGGGTATATAAAGGGCATGTATAAGAGATTGAGAAATCACACTACTGAATTCTCTAGAAAGTGGAATGTTGTTATCAAAGAAAAAAAGGAGAAAAGAAGAAAAAAAAAAAAACAATGTAAAACCACAGACAAAACCCCAAATGAACCACTAAAACCCAGAACACTGTGTGGTATAAACCCTCCTCAGAAGCAAGAGACTAATATCTGGGAAATAGTAGAAGAAACCGGTGGTATTCCTTGCAGTATTTTTTAAGCTGATCATACTGCAAAATGGTTGAAAGCTATGTAAATCCAAAAATGCAAATCAGTCTGAGCAGCTTCAAATAATTTTCCCCAAAACTGCCCTTTTTTTTCCCTTTACAAATAAAGTTACATAACTAGAACGAAAGCCCATGCAGCAGTAAGATGCTCCATATGTTTAATGAGTATGCAAATGTAAGCACAGCTTCAAATTTCTTGTTAAGTTGCAAGAGTGACCAAGAGTTAAACATTTTACATTATTAAATGCAACAAAAATTAATTCTTTTTTGCTGGATGAATATTTAGAAGTCTAGATGCACCCTGCAAACAACTATTTCAGAGGCAAGTGTCTCACCTGGAACCCATCCTACAAAGTGATTGGTAAGAAGAGGCAGGCATATACACAATAGCAGAATTGTAGCACAGCATAAGAAAGCTCAGCACCTCAAACCTGAAAAGAGACAAGAGGACAAATATGCATAGTTTAAATTCTTAATATTTCACCAGAATTTAACACAGAAATTCTACAACTTAGTCTCAAAAAATACCCCACAGGAGAAAGTGTCAGAAGTAAACACACAAACCCTGAAATCCTCTTTCATTATAATTCACTAAACTTGAAACAGGCCATTAAAGATTCAGTATTAAACTCTAAAAATTATTACTGAAAGCCATTAGTATATGCAGAAGCTATGGAGGAAATGGCATATAGCATAATACTTGGACAAAGTTACAGAATTGAACAAGTCTGCAATGCATTCAGAATTATTTTATTAGTTTTCCCAGAGCTGGCTTTAGACAAAGGTAAAGCTGGCAGTCATAGAACAGCAGGGCAATTTCCCTCATCCCTAGTTCTGTCTATCCACTTAGCTCCATTCCGCGTTTCCTGTGGAAAAAGCAGTCACAGCCTCAGAGCCAAAGCTGAATTTTGTTACACTTCCAGGAAAATTTGAGTTCGCAGACATAAAGCAGAGACATTCCCGGCAGACGCAGAAATAACAGGGAAGTTACTCTCTTCCAAATTAACTAGTAGAAAAACATACAAAGTTGGAATAAACAACAAAAGTACCGTACCTCAAGATCACCAGGACTGTTCTCTAGATTTATTTCCAAGTACTTAATGATGAGAAAAGACTGAGCACATAATATATTTGGTCTTTATATTTAAGGACTTCTTGTCTGCCTAGTGAAGGACCTTTAATGTCAGAATACATCCACCTACCGGTTCTGTGCCGTGAAGGTTTCTCTCTGAGGATGAAGATCACTGTAAACTACCCTGATGAGATCATGCTGACATAGAGCTCCTTCAGTTAAAGCCATGGATCCAATAGTAGAGGGCTAGTAGTAGGTGGTGGCAGAAGGAAGGAAGAGGGGAGAAATCAAGTCGTAAGTAAAAGGTCCCTGAAAGCATTGAAACTTCTAAACACCTGAGCCAAAAGATACATTTGTTTTGTGACCTGTAAAACTTAAGATTATTCCAGAATATAGTATATCTAAAAAACATTACCTGATTTCATTACTATAAACAGCTTCCATGCTTATAAACAATAGAGCAGGTCAGAGCAATTTTCTACTTTGATTCTTACACACCCATTTATAAGTTTGTCATAATTGCACAGACCTTTTGTATAACAACAGTAGAGAAAGAAAAACAGGACTCCAAACCTGTATTAATGAGGAGTTGGAAGACTACTTTTATACTAATACATAAGAGGCAAAAAACCAGTTGCAACTAAACACTAAACTAAACACAATTAAAATCTGTTCAAACTGCATACTGTCAACAAAGATTCTTCAACATTTACATTCCTTTTCTTCTACTAATGCTACTGAACTAGACTAATTGGAAGCTACTGACATTGAAAACTTACTGCAACAAGATGAACCTAAAATGGCCTGTTGCACCACATGGATCCAGTTTTCATTCCTCTAACAGATCCAATTCTAATTTACTAAAGCAGCTCTCTTACCTCATGATATATTGAGGGTTTAGATAACGAAGGGATGGTGAAAGATAAAACTTTGTTGTTTCCATCTTTGTCAGCAATTTCCTGCATTAAAAAACAAAACCAAAACCCAAATGGAAGTAAGGATATAGGACTTGGAATAATTTTCAACTCTTAGAAGGCATTTAACAAGTAAGATAGGTGTACTGATCTGGTAAGACTCTTAATACACATCCCAAGGTCTATGTACACTTGCAGAATACAAGCAAATTTACATATATATTTTAAAAGTCAGAAAGAGCTATCACAGACTGTTTTGCAGAATCAGTCTGCAACACCTAATAAAACCAGCACTGGCTCCTTGACCAGCGCGACTTCATCCAAACCAAAAATGAATAAAAAGCTTTTCTAGACCACCTTTACATTATAACATTTATTTATAATAGAATTGGATAGTAGAGCAAGGATAAACTTTAAGCCCAACAGATATAGGCAAATGAGGGCTTATGAATCACTTCATGACAATGGGAGTACCTCATAATAAATGCATCACAGACAAAAGGTGAAATCAAGGGGAATGGCAAAGTTTCTTCAGGTATTCTATTCATAAGAAATACATAGAATGCTTTCTCAAAAGGCTTTCAAAACTGGTCAGATTTTCTAGTTGCTAGGCTACTAGATAAGCAAACCCATAAGTTTTTAAAGCAAACATACTAAGAGCAATTACATAAAACTATACCAAAAAGGAGTCTAAAATCCTGCCTTTTCACTTTGTATAGCAAGTCTCCAAACAATGAGCTGCAGTCACTCCAGTTTATGTGAAAACTTGTCCAAGGTAGCACAGTACTTGTAAGCAGGCTTTAAGGATCACAATGGGAAGACAGTTGATAGAACTTAGCAGAACCCAAAAGATTTATCCTTGTCTTTCACTTCCTAAGTATTAAGAAAATAACTTCCCTCTTTCAGTCTCAGTGTATGTGCAGAAAAATACCAACAACTTCAGGGAAAAAAGACCACAAACCAAACACTGTTGATTTTGAAGTCTCTTTCTTCCTGAATCTCAAGAGAATTAAGAAATTACTGTCTTTCAAAAAAATTATGAATCACCAACATGACTTTCATAGGAACTGCAAAAAGACCTTTGACAAAATGGCTGACAAAGATAAATGTGCAACTTTAACCCAGCAAACAGTACCAAAAATCAGCAAGCAGTTTCCAGTATTTTTTTTCTATCTGAATAAATCCAAATTAACTGGATCTTCCAGTTAGAGCTGATCCACAGACACACACAAAAAAATAAAATTGTTAAGAATCACAGTTTGACTGTTCTGTGTCTCATCATATGTAGAAACATAAAACACAATTTAAAGGAGGGGTTTACTAGGATAGTAGAGGGAAGAGTGGTATTTCAGTATAATATGTTTTTAAGTCCTGTAACACAGAAATTCCCATTAGAGAATGCCTATCTTGGCAGTATTCCTAAATATATCTAACAACCTCATAACATTATAAGAATAAACATTTTCAGGCTAAGGTAAGGATATAAAAAATTATTTTACATTTAACAGGCAAATGTAATCATCTACAGTTACCTTTACTTATTCTTAAAATACCTTACTTGTTCCACTCAAGACAACTATATATCTCAAATGTACACATGCATGTATCTAAGTGCTAGCATGCAGAGTAGTTTCAGCTTCAAATTACCCTTAAAAAGACTTAAAATGTAAGAGGAGGGATGGAGGGAAGTGGCACATGAAGATTGGCCAAGCATATTGGACTGATGATCATCTCCATAGAAAGCTGTATTTTTCAACGTTAAGAAGGGCTACTTAATTTCCTTACAAACAGAAGTATAACACAGATCAAGAAAGCCCATGAGATGATCCTTTTTAGTTAAAATGTTTGTCCCCAAAAGATTACCATAAAAAAAAACCCCAAAAAAACCCAAAAAAACCCCCGCAACTTTGCAAACATGTTCTTACTAAACCATCATTACATTATGCTTTTCTCCAGATTAAACATGCTTTCATGTAAGCGTATTATAATTTCAAATATGTTGTTCCAATAATTTACTTTATTCCTAGTGGTCAGTGACGCAAAACCTCAGATCAAAGCTTGCCTCATGCATTCCCACTCATCTCACTTACCAAGTTGTAAATGCCAAGGAGCAGTGCTTCAATGCAACCATTGCTCTGCCTATCCCTGCTGGCAGTAAGACGCAGATAAACCCAGATCAACTCTGGCAAAAACTGCAGTGTGAATCTCTTGAGCCGAACTTCCGAACTACGATACAGTTCAAAGAGCTGGTGGCAAACAGGCTCCAGGAGCTGTGGAAAGGCAAAAAGGCTAATAACTTACTGTTAGGCTTCTCTAATAAGGGAGAATGAAACAGTGAATATAGGGGCTATATCATCCAGCTACTGCAAGCAGTAAAGAAGATGTTCCTTGAGAACAAGTGAATGAACCAAAATGATATCTGCATTCCTTTAAAGAAAATCTGTAAGGACAGGCCCAAGGGGCACTGGTATGCAGTACTGGGAAATGTGGCCTTACTACAAACACTACCATCTTGTGCTTTGAGACCTTTATTCCTCTAGGCCTGTCAGTATGAGACTTACTTTCCATACATGTATTAATTTAAGACATGTGACAGACACATGCCTTGAAGTACGTGCACCACAAAACTTTCATGGTGCAGTTGTAATGTTTATAAAAGTACAAAGGTTAAAGATTAGCTGGTTTCGGTACAAAAATCAAAATAAGGCTCTTATCAAGTCAGTGTGATACAAGCACAAGAAAATTCCTGCCATTACAAGGGTCTATAATGACAAACTATTAGTTAAGCATCCATAAAACTTGGGGGG